CCAGAGAAAATCAGTGAATTAGATCATTGGTTTTCAAACAGTGCTCTGCAGGGTCCTATAGATTTGAAATGCTTTATAAACTCCCACATAATTCTGAATTTTATCCATTAGTTGCATGCTTGGAATTTATTTAGATACTTCCATAAAGTAAAGGTGTGAAAAGCCCCTGGGCTAGATTACCTATGAAATTCCTTTACTTTTAACATTTTATGAGCCGTTTATTTTTTTCCTAATTCCTATGCTTGAGTCAGGCTTGAGAATTATCATACAAATTTTGTGCTTTTCCACTTCTGGAACTGCCTTATACTTCAGACTTTTCATGGATTATCCATCTGCTCTTCTTACTAGTCGAAATTCCATTTGTTTTTCAAGGTCCAGCTCTGGCTATCCCTGAGATGAATTGAATTATCAGCCAGGAAAAAACTTCCCTTCCCTGGCATTTTGAAAACAGTAGATTAGTATTATTTTTGAGACATTAAACTGTTCTTCCATTCTGTTGTGGTTGCTGTGTACTTGATGAGTTTCTGTCATTCTTGCAGAAGCTGGGAAAATCTGACAAGCAAGAGTAGGGCAATGAATAGAAGATAATGATGGGACCCCAGGGCACTTTCTAGGATGTACACATTCCATCAAGAGGGGGTGTCACAGCCTTAATGAGATTTCTGTACTGTCCACAGGGAAATTTAGTATCAACATGGTCAAACTCTATTTTAATAAAAAAAAAATTTTAATGAAATTTTTAACATCTGAAAACTCATTTATAAAAATGTAAAATGCCCAAACAAAAATGTGTGTGATGGCCACTTGTATGCACCTCTGGACTGCATACCCTGTGCCTGTCTTCATCATTTAATATGAAAATAATGTACTTGCACCCTTGTTCAGGAAAGTTTGTGAATTTTGTTGGAAATGCTCAGATAGCCTTTTATATAAACTTGAATAAAATCATGTTATAGATTTTTTTTTAATCTAGTGCAAATGACTGTCAAGAACAATATGATGATGTCCTCCAGAAAATCAAATTGTTAAGTGGATCATCTTCAAATGTAAAATCTTTTGTTCTTACCCTCAGAATGTCCCTTACTTGAGGCTTTGCAGTATAAAACCTTCCTGAAGAAAAATGAGATTAAGGAACTTTTCACAGTTCATCAAGCAGCAGATAGATTAGCTAGTTGCCAAGAAAAAATTATCATATGGAAATTTGGGAGGATTTTAATGGGACCTCATTGTATTGATCTTGAAAGATGTAGTTTGTATTAAAAGTCTGTTTTGTTTTTTGGAAGGAGTCTCTCTCTGTTGCCCTGGCTGGAGTGCAGTGGCACCATCTCTGCTCACTGCAATCTCTGTCTCCCAGGTTCAAGTGATTCTCCTACCTCAGCCTCCCAAGTAGCTGCAACTACAGGTTCACACCACCATGCCCGGCTACTTTTTGTATTTTTCGTAGTGATGTGTTTCACCAAGTTGTCCAGGCTGGTCTTGAACTCCTGACCTCAGGTGACCTTCCTGCCGCCGCCTCCCAAAATGCTGGGATTACAGGCTTGAGCCACCTCACCTGGTCTGATTTTTGTTTTGTTTTGTTTTAGATGCTTTACTGAGCACCTTTAGATGTTTGTCACTAAAACACTGACAAGTTTATCTTTTAAATATTGCTTGCTGGTCATCATGCTTGCTTTTTTCTTATTAAGAATATGTTTAAATTTTAACCTGTAAAACAAAATTTGCCGTGGTCGTATTTTGATTCTACATCTAACAGCGGTAGTGTTTATAACATATTTACACCATTGTTTTATTATTGTTGGCTGAAGTAATTCCTAGTTAACTTTTCACTTTCTGGTTAAAATTGTAATCTAATTCCTTGTTCTTTTTATCACCAAATAGCAGAGTATTCAGTGGTAACTGAGAACTTCTAAGCTCAGTGACATGTGAACTGAACATGTGCAGGTATCATAAAATAAAGTTTGAAATGATTTGTTTATGATAAAACAATAGCTCATTAATGAGGAAACGGACAATAGCATGTTACATTTTTCTAAAATAAATATAAAATGGATTATATTTAGAAACAATGAATGTTGATATATTAAAATACTTATTCATTTATTTCAAATACGTCACATAATTTATTACTATTATTATTATTTTTGGTAATTTTATCTTAATCAGTTAGTCAAGGGACGATCACTTTCTCTTTTCAACACAAATCTAATTCCTTAAGTGGTTTTGATGGCCCAGGGCAGGACTGCATTTCTTTGTATCTTTTCTCTTTAACAGGACTATTAACATTAAGCAAGCAGATGCTTTCTCTTGTTAAAAAGGAACAATCCTCCCCTTCCACCCAGAGAAGTTCCCTGTGGTATTCGGCCCCTCCCTGCACTGATGTCTGCAAGGCAGCCGTTTCTTTCCTCAGCTTTCCTTGCCCTGCCCCCTGCATCTCACCACGTGGACTCGCAGTCTAAGCTGTTCAGGTTTCTCATCTTTTTTTCTCCCTAAAACATAAACCTACCATTGGTGCAACTCTTCCTTTTATTTTAATATTATGTATTTAATGCTGGGCTTAGGTAAATAAAAGGTCCACTCTCTTAAAACTGAGGGAAATTATGCATTTAAATAGAATGTATATAATATTTTTAAAACCGTATATCAAATATTCTCTTAAAATTTATTATAATAACACTTAAGGATCAAACAGGGTGATATCTAATAGGTGTTATTATAGTTTCTTAGATATATTATCTCTTTGTTTATATATCTTGACCAATAACAAACAGCACTGATAAGAATAACTGACTTTTTAGAACAGTGTGCTAGATACATGGACACTTTCACATAAAATACTTCAGCTGGATTATCACAACTTTATTATTATTAGTATTACAGATTCAAAAATGAGGTTAATAAATATTCCAGTAGGTTGGGCAGGATGGCTCACTCCTGTAATCCCAGCACTTTGGGAGGCCCAGGCAGGTGGATTACAAGATCAGGAGTTTCAGACCAGACTGGCCAATATGGTGAAACTCATTATCTATTAAAAATTCAAAAATTAGCCGGGCATGGTGACAGGCGCCTGTAATCCCAGCTACTCAGGAGGTTGAGGCAGAAGAATTGATTGAACCCGGGAGGCGGAAGTTGCAGTGAGCCGAGATCGAGCCATTGCACTCCAGCCTTGGTGACAAAGACATTCTATTTAAATGCGTAATTTAATTTAATTTTGGGATCTCTTGAGCCCAGGAGTTTGAGATCACTGGGCAACACAGTGAGGCCCCGTTTCTACACACACACACACAAAATTAGCTGAGTGTGGTGGCATGCGCTTGTGGTCTCAGCAATGTGGGAAGCTGAGGCAGGAGGATCACTTGAGCTTGGGAGATCAAGGCGGCAGTGAGCCATGACCTCACCATATGCACTCCAGCGTGTGCAACAGAGCAAGACCCCGTCTAAAAAACAAACAAACAAACAAACAAAAAAACTGGATAATGTTAAAATCCCACTTATTTCAATAATTTAAAAAAGTTAAAGATTAAAAACTCAGTTGTTTACTCATTTCTGAATGATACAAATGCTTTAAAACTCATTTTGACAATCTACTGTTCCACTATAACAATACAGTGTTTCGCTATGACACTATAACAATATTTACCTTGGGATAGGCTTCTTTTACCAACTTGCAGACAAGTTTTCTTTTATGTGTACTTGTATATGTGAATCAGTGATTCTTTTATTTTGTTATTTTTTTTAAGTTTAACATGCCATTGGCTCTAGAAGCTGCCATGTTTAAGACTTTCAGGATAGATACATATTTGATCTTTTATATTTGTCATTTGGTTTGTACACATAATATCACTTATCTGCTCAGCAAATTTTATATGGCTTCCAATCATTCATGTAAAACATGAAAACTTAAATTTTCTGTCTAGCTCTCTCTAAACCCCCCATAAAACAGTGCCACTCTTACTGTCTAATCTCTAATCACACTTCTCACACATCCTTTCAAACACTAATTACTTGCCTTTCTTCAACCCAAAAGTCTTCTTTTCTTTTGCCCACCAGTCAAAATCTACCTATTCTTTAAAGTCCAGCTTAGACCCAGTTTCAATTATAAATTTTTCCTCTCAATTTCAGGACTTACTAGAATTAGAATAATTTTTTTTCTCACTTGTTCATGTTAATTAAGATTGTCAATATTTCTTTCCACAAATATTGACTCCTTCTATTAGTCCATTCTCATGATGCTATAAGGACATACCTGAGATCGGAAAATTTGTAAAAGAAAGGTTTGACTCACAGTTCCCCAGGGCTGGAGATATCTCAGGAAACTCACATATATGGTGGAAGGGGAAGCAAACATGTCCTTCTTCACTTGTCATCAGCAAGAAGTGCCAAGCAAAAGAGGAAAAGCCCCTTATGAAACCACCAGCTCTTCTGAGAACTTACTATCACAAGAGCAGCATGAGGGTAACCATTCCCTGTGATTCAGTTGCCTCCCACCAGATCCCTTCCACGACATGTGGGGATTATGAAAACTACAATTCAGGATGAGATTTGGGTGGGGACACAGCCAAACCATATCATTCCTTGAGGGCAGGAATCATGTTTTATATTTCTCTTTATGTCTTTAGACTCTAGAACCAAGGGATACTTATTAGAAAGTTATAAATTGCTGTTGTTAAATGTAATTTGGCAAAATTTATCACTGAACTCTATTTTCTTTTCTTTTTTTTTTTTTTGAGATGGAGTCTCACTCTGTTGCCCAGTCTGGAGTGCAGTGGCATGATCTTGGCTCGCTGCCACCTTCGTCTCCTGGGTTCAAGCAATTCTCCTGCAATCAGCCTCCCGAGTAGCTGGGACTACAGGCATGCACCACCATGCCTGGCTAATTTTTTTTTTTTTTTTTTTTTTTTTTTTTTAGTAGAGATGGGGTTTCACTATGTTGGACAGACTGGTCTTAAACTTCTGACCTCAAGTGACCCATCCACCTCAGCCTCCCAAAATGCTGGGATTACAGGTGTGAGCCACCGCACCCGGCCTCATTGGACATTTTGAACAATAAGCCTGGAATCATACAACCTTACTTAGGACTTTAAAGCATTAGGGACTTTAGGGATTATATAGCAAATTCTTCATTTTACAGATGAGAAAACTGTGATTTACATGGGGACAGTATGCACTGGCCATTCTTAACAGCCTTTTTCTCAGTGTCTTTGATAGCATTTCTCATTCTATTTCCTCAAATTTAAAAAATGAAATATAGAGGTGTGATTTTTCCTGTCTGTTAAAAGGTTTTAAAAGGCACTGTTTCATACTTAGTTTGGTCAGAAAAGCAGAAAACACTTTAGGAGTTTGAAGTAGGAGGGATTTAATTTCAGGAATAAAATGCTCACAAAACTAATGGAAGTTCTGGGGAAACAGAATTCAGAAAAGACCGTTGTTAACTTACAGGCTCCCCACTCTCTTTGACGAGTCAAGGAGCTCCAAAGCACTGATTAAAGAAATGAGCTCCAATAAGGAGGTGGCTGAATTCCAGAAAAATAACTCAGAAGCCACAATAGAATCTCACATTTGGTGGAGCCTACGTATTTATTTACCTGCAGTTACTGGAGGAATGGTAAAGCTCCTGCCTTTCTTCCACCTTCCAAATTTTACGTGAGTGCTTCTAAATGGCAGATTCTGTGCTGGAAAGGAAACTTACTTTTAAATGTATTAGCATCTTGTTTATTTATCTCAATGATTTAGTGCCTTTCAATTTAAGGGCAAATATTCCTACACATGTCAATAGCTCACAAATTATCTATCTGCTCCAACACTAAACAGTAACTGATGTTTATAATAATAGAATTGTTAGTGCTGGAAGAGACTAGCGATAAACTGGACTTCATCTTCTCATTTAAAAGACTAAAGTCACACAGCAATGGTGTTGAAGAGCCAACCGTTTTGACCTACCTCCATGGCTCAGATGGAGTGTTTTCATGTTATACTTGTCCCTGAATTTGCCTACTGCTTTATTCTTACATTCAAGTGAATTTTATAACTTTCTGATTTAATATGGATTTAAATGATCAAATTATTTAGCGCTAAGACCATGGTTGAGCTTTATAAGACACTTCAAAAAATGGTACATGAGACATACACACAGATACAAACTAAAAGGGAGTTTAGGTTGCTCATTGCTCTTCCAAGGTGAAATCACCATTTTATCTGGTGACTTACAAATGAAAACTTTGACCAATAAATCTATTTACTCAGATCTCTCAATGTTGTGAATGATTCTCCTGGTAGCCAGATATTGTAAGTCTATCATGACATGATTTTTTACTTCATGTTGACCTGTTGTTTTATATGGAAGTTCCTGTGGCATTAGAGTTTTCTTAAGTATAAACCATTCCAAAATCAGATGGTTAATACACGTTGCTTTGTCCTCAGGCTCTCTAGTATTCCTTTTGGGCTATTGGTCTTTCAACATTCAGTTAGGGGATTAAAGTAAATCATTTAATCCATGCAGCATGTCACTCAATAGTATACTTTTGGAAATTGTTTCCACAGGAACACCAGCGAAAGCAGCCAGTCTGAGATATTGACACTATAGAAAAAACTGACAGCTTACTCCTTGTATTGATTCTACTCTTCTCTACAAATATAGACTCCGTTCCCTACCACAGCCTTGTAAGTGGTGCCTGCTGAGGCTGCTAAATTGCTTTGTAAATTATTTATTACTTGGACACCTTATAAAGATCTCTTTTCTTCTTGTTTGACTTGCTTGTGCTTTCTAGGTTCCTATATACTGAAAGGTCTCAGAGTGCACACTGACCACAACCTTCTTATGGAATCTTTCCTTCCCATCTTTTATTGCAAATATGATTATCCTTGCCTATATTATAACTATGTCTTTTGTCACTGGTTTTTATTTCTGATCTCTTGCTTATAAAATATCACAAATGTTTATATGTACATGTTTGGAGCCTGGCACTGGGCAAATTAATTAACATATTCTCAGATTAGAAAGTTTAAGTATTTAAAGGACATTTATTTAATGATGGGGAAGAGTTTGTATTAATAAAAACTTTATCAGAGCAAATGCACATCTTTAATTTATTCACACTTATGTAGCAAAGTCAATGTTTTGGAAAAAGACAGTAAGTGGTTTCTCTCTTTTTTTATTTGTTCTTACTTAGATATTATGATTTTCTGAAGAATTTTAAAAATGTTTATAATGTAGGTAATAAAAAACAATATTTTTTGTCCAGTAAACAGAAAAATTTGAGCAGATTGTGACTGTCCACTTTTAGCTAACTAAAACCATACCCTCACATATAAAATCCTCAAGAGAGAAAGTCTGTGCTGAGTAATTTGCATTTTCCTCTCTCCCTCTCTTAGCTTCCTACATTAGTCATCTCAGCACTAGTATAAATTTGTTGACTTAGGTCCAGAGTTATTTCATTGCCTCTTATAATTTGGAAATCCAAGAAGCTACTCCTCTCACCCATCCCTCAAAATTCATTAGTTTGTGTTTGGAAAGTACAGGCTTTTCAATCTTGTCTCTGCCATTTATGAGTTCTGTGACTTTAAGCAAGTAAATTAGCTCTTATTAACATCAACTTCTACTATGAAATGAAGTTAGTAATAGTATCTATCCAAAGGATTGCTGGAAGAATAAATGTGGTATATTTGGAGTCTTAGAACAGGCATGTGTTAGGTATCAGTGTTGTTTACAACATGTTACTGATACATAATTTTTTTTTACTTGATAATTTAATTTTATAATAATTATATTTTATACAATACCAATAAATACATGTTGCGAATAAAAAATGCAGTTAGTAATTATATGCTAAAATCATAATATCTTGTAGGCAATTTTTTTAGGTTGTAGAAATTTGGCCTGGTGCAGTGGCTCATGCCTGTAATCCCAGCACTTTGGGAAGCCGAGGCAGGTGGATCACATGAGGTTGGGAGTTCGAGACCAGCCTGATCAACATGGAGAAACTCCATCTCTATTAAAAATACAAAATTAGCTGGGTGTGGTGGCACATGGCTGTAATCCCAGCTACTCGGGAGGCTGAGGCAGGAGAATCACTTGAACCCAGGAGGCGGAGGTTGTGGTGAGCTGACAAAGTGCCCCTGCACTCCAGCCTGGATGACAAGAAGCTCTATTAAAAAAAAAAAAATAAAAAAGCACAAAAACACACTTCTAAAATCACTGCAATTCTTTTTCTTTTTTTTCTTTTCTTTTCTTTTCTTTTCTTTTTTTAAGACAGGATCTGCCTCTGTTGCCCAGGCTGGAGTGCAGTGGCACAATTTCTGCTCACTGAAACCTCCGCCTCCTGTATTCAAGTGTTCCTCGTGCCTCAGCCTCCCATATAGCTGGGATTACAGACACATGCCACCACACCCAACTAATTTTTTTTCAGTAAAAATAGGGTTTCTCCACGTTGGCCAGGCTGGTCTCAAACACCTGACCTCTGGTGATCCACCCCCCTTGGCCTCCCAAAGTGCTGGGATTACAGGCGTGAGCCACCACGCCTGGCCAGATCACTGTAATTCTCATTGAAATGGGGAATGCAAGTCACTTAGAGGACTAAGGATTAGGCCATGAAGATTTATAAGCAGAAGGGGGCAGCTGTTTCTAGATAGGCCACTGTGTTTAAGAGATGGGCACACAAAGAAGAATGCTTTACCAAAACACGTGGCTTTAGGTAGTGAGGCCCTTGCCATACCTTGAAGTCTGTTTCAGTGATGGCCTCTTCAGGCAGTGCTGTTTTTCCTGTGCATGGCTTTGTGGCAGCACATATCACTATGACTTCATTTCATTCTTTCCTTGCATACTGAAAGCAATCACCTTTAAGATGAGTTTTCTATACCTGGCTTGAAATGCTTGTTTCTTAACATTAGTCCAGTGTTTCAAGGCTCAGCTCAAATGCCACCTCCCCCACCTGATCTGTCACTCTTACCACCTATTTTTTTCCTCCCCTTTTAAATTTTTTCAGCATTGATAGTATGAATTACCTTAAGTAGTGTCTGAGATCAAATACAATGCTGTCTGCTTTAATAATTATTTAATGTAAAACTATCTATTTAGCTAGAAACCTGCAGGAGAGTCTTAACGAAAGATTAAAGAAGAAGCCAAAGACTGGTTAAAGCAGAGTATTTTCAGATAAAATGCATGGTCCAGCACAAGATGGGAGCATTATCATGGCCCCCTATGTTTGTGCACATTTCACATATGTGCCACATCCTCACCAGTAATGATGGCCTTCACCACACTATTTTGTACATTACATAATGCTTGCACATAATTTATTTCATTTATTCCTGAAAGCCATTTTATGACATGGGTCTCTTTATCCTCATTTTGTAGAGAACCAAAGCCTAGAAGGGGTTACAATGATTTGTCCTGAGTCACACTGAAGTTCATTACTTTTATTTTCTATCCATCCCAGCTGACCTTACACAGTGGCTCATCTCACCCTCACAGAAACCACACAAGGAAGGCCAGAAAGATATTTCTGGCTTTGATTTATAAGCAAGGAGGCTGATTTCTCTTGAGAAAAAGCCAAGAAGAACTTCTCATCCAAGCAGTCTCTGCCTTTTTCCTTTTTGGAGCAGAGAAAGAGTGCAATTCTCTGAACAGTGAGATTAGTTTGACACAAAAAACAAGTGGAAGTCTGCAGACCACTTTGTGCAACGCATGCATGAGGGAACAGAGTTGGAATAGGACTGAAATATATATATATATATATATATATATATATATACACTCAACACATAAATACATATGGAGTCATATACATGTGAATCCTAAAATACTTAAATATATGTGAAAATATGCATTGAAACATGTATATCTTTCTTATTTTATACACATTTAGTAAAATTTGGGATAGAAGGGAAAATCTCTTCATTGAAATGGACCAGATTTGTGTTAAACAACTTGAGAAAAGAAAGCAAGGTATGGGAGGATCTAAAATGGCCGAATAGGAACAGCTCCAGAGTGCAGTTCCCAGCAAGAACAATGCAGAAGGACACATTTAAAGCAGTGTCTAGAGGAAAATTTATAGAAATAAATGCCCACATGAGAAGCAAGGAAAGATCTAAAATTGATGTCCTATCATCAAAGTTGAAAGAGCTAGAGGAGCAATATCAAAAAAACTCAAAAGCTAGCAGAAAACAAGAAATAACTAAGACCAGAGCAGAACTGAAGGAGATACATACACAAAAAAATCCTTCACAAAATCAATAAATCCAGGAGCTGGTTTTTTGAAAAGATCAACGAAATAGACAGACTGCTAGCCAGATTAATAAAAAAGAAAAGGGAGAAGAATCAAATATATGCAATAAAAAACGATAAAGGGGATATCACCACTGACTCCACAGAAATACAAACTACCATCAGAGATTACTACAAACAACTTTGTGCAAATAAACCAGGATAAATTCCTGGACACTTGCACCCTCCCAAGCCAAAACCAGGTAGAAGTTGAAACCTTGAATAGACCAATAACAAGGGCTGAAGTTGAGGCAGCAATTAATAGCCTACCAATCAAAAAAAGTCCAGGTCCAGACTGGTTCAGAGCTGATTTCTACCAGACATACAAAGAGGAGCTGGTAGCCCTCCTTCTGACTATTCCAAACAATCTACAAAGAGGGAATCTTTCCCAAATCATTTTATGAGACTAATATCATCCTGATACCACAAGCTAGCAGAGAGTCATCAAAAAAGGAAAACTTCAGGCCAATATCCATGATGAACATAGATGCAAAAATCTTCAATAAAATACTGGCAAACTGATTGCAACAGCACATCAGAAAGCTTATCCATCACGATCAAGTAGTCTTCATTCCAGGGATGCAAGGCTGGTTCAACATATGCAAGCCTGTAAACGTAACCCACCACATAAACAGAACCAAAGACAAAAACTACATGATTATCTCAATAAATGCAGAGAAAGCCTTTGATAAAATTCAACAGTGCTTTAATGCTAAAAACTCTCAATAAACTAGATATCGAAGGAACATATCTCTAAACAATAAAAGCTATTTATGACAAACCTACAGCCAATCTCATACTGAATGGGCAAAAACTGGAAGCATTCCCTTTGAAATCCAGCACTAGACAAGGATGCCCTCTCTCATCACTCTTATTCAATATAGTATTGGAAGTTCTAGCTGGAGAAATTAGACAAGAAAAAAAAAAATAAAGGATATTCAATTAGGAAAAGAGGAAGTGAAATTGTCTCTATTTGCAGATGACATGATTGTATATTTAGAAGACCCTATCATCTCAGCCCAAAATCTCCTTAAACTGATAAGCAACTTCAGAAAAGTCTCAGGATACAAAATCAATGAGCAGAAATCACAAGCATTTCTTTAAACCAATAACAGACAGAGAGCCAAATCATCAGCAAACTCCTATTCACAATTGTTACAAAGAGAATAAAATACCTAGGAATACAACTAACGAATGATGTAAAGGACCTCTTCAAGGAGAACTACAAACCACTACTCAAGGAAATAAGAGAGGACACAAACAGATGGAGAAACATTCCATGCTCATGGTTAGGAAGAACCAATATCGTGAAAATGGCCATACTGCTAAAAGTAATTTACAGATTCAACACTATTCTCATCAAGGTATGAATGACCTTCTTCACAAAACTGGAAAAAAA